ACAGCCAGGGATGGGGACTAACCCACCTCCCTGGGCAGCCTGTTCCAATGCCCGACCACTCTTTCGGTGAAAAATTCCTTCCTAATGTTCAATCTAAACCTCCCCTGTTGGAGCTTGAAGCCGTTCCCTCTCGTTCTGTCACTAATTACCTGTGAGAAGAGACCAGCACCAACCTCTCTACAGTGTCCTTTCAAGTAGTTGTAGAGAGTGATGAGGTCTCCCCTCAGCCTCCTCTTCCTCACACTAAACAGCCCCAGCTCCTTCAGCCGCTCTTCATATGATTTGTCTTCTAGGCCCTTCACCAGCTTCGTTGCCCTCCTCTGCACTCGCTCCAGCACCTCCAGATCTCTCTTGGATTGAGGTGCCTCAATAGGACTCAATGATCTTAAAGGTCCCTTCCAAGCTAGGTGATTCTATGATTCCTTTTTGTTGTGTTTGATCTCCTGCTGCTCACACTGCAGACAAAGGTTTGGCCCTGATGGTGGCATCTCCTGGGCTCCTTGTGCCCAAAAACCCGGATCCCTCCCTGCAGCGAAGGCCCTGCCGTGAGGCCGGGCATCCTCAGGCACAGAGGATTTCTCCCTTTCAGGGTGGTTGGTGGGAGCTCGTGTGCGAGTGGCATGAAATGATGGTTTCTCTCAGGTCTGCAGTGAGATTTACCTTCAAGTTCCTGGGTTTTGCAGTTGCCTCTTCGCAGCACACGTCGCTCTCGGCCTGCTCTGTCCCCCTGCCAGCCTTGGGCACGGATTATTTCCAGGCGCTGCATGAAGCAGTGACAGCCTCTCCCAACTCGGATGTGTTTTTATTAGCATGCTTTATCGTTAGGGCCTCTTGGATTTCTCTATTAATCTGTGAAAATCTCTGCAATCGTGATTTTTTTTCTATTTTTTTTTTTTCTTCCCCGGCTCTGCAGGAGTCCATTATGTAATTGCCAACTGTGGCCACATCCTGATCAGCCATTCGGCGCCTTGGAGGGATTGCAGATAACTCTGCAGCAAGAAATGTTCCCTAATTCCCTTTTTTTTTTCTATGTGTGTAAATTCTGATCGTTCAAATGGCTGTGTTTTCATTGTTTAGCCACAGGATGCTTTCCCCCCAAAAAAACCCCTCCCCGTGGCACAGGAAGCTTGTTCAGGGTTTCAGAGGAACTCGAAATGTCATTGTTCTGTGGATCTCACGCTGTTCTGTTTTCCTTTCTTCTCTTCCTGGGGACCTGCTTCAGGCTCAAACCTCTGCATAGTTTGGTTGGGTTTTTTCTTCTTCCTAGCAAGGGCCTGCGGTAATAGATGGAAGCAGGAACTTGAAACAGATTTTTTTTTTACTATTATTATTATTATTTAGAAGGTTCACAGTGGTTTAAATAGAAAAAAGGAAACCTTTTAGCACTAGAATTTTTCCAATTCTTCCCTCCCCCCTGGGGTGTTGAAATTCTTGACATGAATTTTGCATTATAGCAAACATGCTGAGCAATATTATTTTAATGTAATTTTGATGTGGTAACTGGGAGGTAAATCCTATTGCCTTGAACGAGATCTTAAAAAAAAAAAAAGAAAAAAGCTCTCATAATATTATCTTTCCTAAATGTTTGCCAGCTCTTCTTGCTAGTGTGAGGAAACTTCCCCGTAAGAAGTTTGTATTAAGACAGAAACTCTGAAACTCTAGGTGCTTTTCCTCAACTATTAGGTTATTTTTTCTCCTATAACTTCTATTTATTCCAGTTGAACTGGATGTGGTAAATAGCGATACGGGCTGTGCTGATGTATTACTTTGCAATACAGCTTTTGTAGCCTTTTTTTTTCAGTGTGCATCAGTGAAAATCATCTTGTTAAGGTAAAGTTTCTCCAGCTTTCTTGTAAAGAGTGGTGATGTTTTATTAATTTTGCCAGTGGGGTTGTAATTCGCAGAATCACAGAATGGTTTGAGTTGGAAGGGACCTTAAAGATCATTGAGTTCCCACCCCCTGCCCTGGGCAGGGACACCTCCCACCACACCAGGTTGCTCCAAGCCCCCTCCAACCTGCCCTTGAACCCCTCCAGGGATGGGGCAGCCACAGCTTCTCGGGGCAACCTGGGCCAGGCTCTCACCACCCTCACACCAAACAAGTTCTTCCCCACAGCTCAGCTCCATCTCCCCTCTTTCAGGGTCAAACCCTTCCCCCTCCTCCTAGGGCTCCCCTCCCTCATCCAGAGGGACTTTCCTGGAGCCCCTTGAGGGACTGGAAGGGGCTCCAAGGTCTCCCCGGAGCCTTCTCTTCTCCAGGCTGAACCCCCCAACTCTCTCAGCCCCCCCTCCCAGCAGAGGGGCTCCAGCCCTCCCAGCATCTCCGGGGCCTCCTCTGGCCCCGCTCCAACAGCTCCATGTCCTTCCTGTGCTGAGAGGACCTGACAGGAGGAAGAAGCTGCTGATCCCTGAGACCAGTGAGTGTCTCAGCATCAGGTGTGTTTCAGAGCCCCCCACTCCATGTCTTTGACTGTGCCCCAGGGACAGGGCTCCTTTCCAGGTGCTTCCAGGCTCCCTTCCAGGGACTTCCATCCCAGCCACTCGAGGGACTGGGATTCCCAGATTCTGACTCTGCCATCCAAGAGCTGCTGCTTTTCCTTAGAGCTAAGGAGGGGAGGATGTGACTGTTGCCAATTTAGACATCTCACCTTTGCTTGGAGGTTTGATTTGTTGAATTATAGAAGGGAAAAAAAATCCCATCTGCAACCTCAAAGGCGGTCTCCCTCCCCCTCTTCTGTTAAATGGCACCTGCTGTACCCACTCCCAGTATAACCAGTGTCTGAGCTCAGCTTTAAGCCCAGCATTGCTCCTGGGGAGATTCCACCAATGGAGAAATGATGCTGGGGTGAATTGGGCTCACTGGTCTCTGGGCTGTGCTCTCCCCACGCGGATCTGTGTTCCTCCTGTCGAACTGCAGACACCGAGATGAAGCCAACATCTGTTAGCACTCAAAATGGAGGCAGTGTCAGCATTTCAACTTCAGAGGTTGTTCCAAAAGCAGCGACCTTCCTTGGTTCTCTGCGTATTTTGTGCAGCTTGAACTCCAGCTGCTGGTTTGTTTACGTGTTACCTTGAGGCTTTGAACCTCTCTTTTATCTCAGACAATCCCACAGGCTCCTCTTGCAGCCACAGCTGCCTTCCTGCCGCCAGCACCCGGGGTTTTTTAAGCAGTTTTCTGTTGCTGATACCTGTGCTGGTGACAAATCGTGTTCTGTGTCAGGGAGCTGAGTCCAGGCTGGTTGGGAGTACTGCAAAGTTATTCTTCCTCCCTTTTAATTTGCAAGGTCTTAATAAAAATACTTTAATCAACAGCTTATACTAAGGTTTTCCTAAGGATTTTTTTTTTTTCCTTTAAGGACCGGTTCATCATCTTCTGCTTTCTTTTAGGGGAAGATTAGCTGAAGTATTTTAAGGATTTTTTTTTCCTTAAAGGACCAGTTCATCATCTTCTGCTTTCTTTTAAGGGAAGTTTAATTGAAGCATTGATTTTGTTAATTTTGCAGGACTATGTTGATAAAGAGAAGGCCATTGCCAAGGCTTTGGAGGACCTCCGAGCAAACTTCTACTGTGAACTCTGTGACAAGCAGTATCAAAAGCATCAAGAGTTTGATAACCACATCAACTCCTACGATCACGCTCACAAGCAGGTAAACGGGTGTTGGTAGCACAGTTTATATTCATTGCAGTGGTCTTGTTTGTGCTTAATACTTCAAATTTCCCCAGTGTATCTATTTTCATTATAGCCCCAGAAATAGGTGGTTTATGTCACTGGTTATGAATGTTGTGCCCGTGTTATGGGCATTTGAAAAAAAAAAAACAAAACCCCAACCCACTGTTGGCATCAAGGAGCCTGGTTTTGAATGACCCCCGAGCAGGAATGGGCTGGTGTTAAACTGGGAGGAGTACACGTGGATGGGGATGGCTCCCAGTTTGTGTCAGCTTTGAACACAGCACAGCTTGGGAGACGGATGATGCGCCACGTCTGCGCATTTTAATACTTCAGTCTGTGTTCTGTCAAGTGACAGACTGAGGAAATAACGGGCTGTGTCAAAGGAATTGTAAAAAAAGGAGCATTTCCCAAATTCCGTAACCCTCAGGAGAAGGTGGATTCGGAATCCGTGTGGATCTGGCTTTGGTCCCGAGGTGGGGATGTGCCGAAGCATCTGCAGGATACTTCATTCTGCACAGTAAATAACAAAAGTTCATGTGGCAGCCCCATCTCTTTGCCCATTTGAAGCTGCTAAATGAGATGTAAATGTACGGCAGGTAGCAGTGGTGTGCTTATCTAGAGGTGAAATTGCTCAAAAAAGGTTTTTTGATGTTCGTAGTCATAAATTCTAACAATACAATCATTAAAATGCTGATAACTTGTGGAGGATGTGCTGTAGAGTACTAGATCTTGCACAATAGCTCTGAAGGAACGGCCTAAAAGGAAGAATATGGCATTACAGAGTATGATTGTTGGTTTTTTTCTCCTAAGTTTAGGATATGATAGTTCAAAGTAAATTCACGAAGGGAATCTTAACAGGAAATCTCACGGCAGGGCAGTTCCTGGTTGAGTCATGGGATGAATTGTTTTGACAGAATTAAGAGCAGAAATGAATTAATTCACTTTGTGTTGGAGGAAGGGGCTGCTCTGCCCGAGCTGGTGGCGTGTCCTGCATCTCAGGTTTTCCATCCACTCGGTGAAACCTGAGTGCAATTACACGTGTCTGTTTCGGAGGTGGAAGGACCTGTTTGTGGCACGTTCTTACAGTGTGGTGATGCAGTGTTAATTATGTCAGCTCCTTGGGTGATTAATGAGGGGGACTGACAGGAGGCTGGCAGGGCTTGAGAGGTTTTCTAGATGCCGTGGAAGAAGAAAGGAACCTGTGGAAAGCCACCACCTCTCCTTGGTACAAAAGGAATCATCAGTAACGGTGCAAGAAGAGTGACCTGAAAGAAAAACATAGAATCATAGAATCATAGAGGTTGGAAGAGACCCTTGGGATCATCGAGTCCAACCATCTCCCCTACTCTACAAAGTCCTCCCCTACACCATGTCCCTCAGCACTGCATCTAAACGGCCCTTAAACACAGCCAGGGATGGGGACTCCACCCCCTCCCTGGGCAGCCTGTTCCAATGCCCGACCACTCTTTGGGTGAAAAATTCCTTCCTAATGTTCAATCTAAACCTCCCCTGTTGGAGCTTGAAGCCGTTCCCTCTCGTTCTGTCACTAATTACCTGTGAGAAGAGACCAGCACCAACCTCTCTACAGTGTCCTTTCAAGAAGTTGTAGAGAGTGATGAGGTCTCCCCTCAGCCTCCTCTTCCTCACACTAAACAGCCCCAACTCCCTCAGCCGCTCCTCATACGATTTGTTTTCCAGCCCCCTCACCAGCTCCGTTGCCCTCCTCTGCACTCGCTCCAGCACCTCCAGATCTCTCTTGGATTGAGGTGCCCAAAACTGGACACAACACTCGAGGTGTGGCCTCCCCAGTGCTGAGTACAGGGGCACAATCACCTCCCTACTTCTGCTGGTCACACTATTTTTGATACAAGCCAGGATGCCGTTGGCTTTCTTGCCCCCCTGGGCACAGGCCGGCTCATATTCAGCCCTTTGGCAACTCGAACCCCCAGGTCTCTTTCCTCCAGGCAGCTCCAGCCACACTTCCCCCAGCCTGTAGCGCTGCAGGGGGTTGGTGTGGCCCAAGTGCAGGACCTGGCACTTGCCCTTGTTGAAACTCATCCCGTTGATCTTGGCCCAGTGATCCAATCTATCTAGGTCCCTCTGTAGGGCTTCCCTATCCTCCTGGGAGTCAACACTCAACATCTTGAGAACACACACAAGGTGGCATAAATCTCATCGGTAGAAAGAATCTGGGGCTTGAGTTGCTGATTATTTTTAAAGGAATTGGTGTTCCTGGATAATTTGCATCCACTGCAGGAAGTTGAGGCGGGCTTTGGGGAAAACGAGCCTTCAAACCCTCGCTACGTCACCCAGCATTAATTTGTAGTGGCGCAGGGATTTAAGCAGAGAAGCAATCATGCTTTGCTTAGGGAAAAAAATTGCTTGTCCAGCTTTATGTTGTGCTGAAATGTGTGTCGCCCCGTCGGGTCGGTGTTCAGGAAGAGAACTTGAAACTACCTAGAAATAATGAAGGAGAATTTGCATAAGTAATGCTATCTCACTCCTGTTGTTCATTACAGGCTCATTTCTAACAGCCTGTTCTAAATGCTAAGGTAGTTTAAAAAGAATATTCCTCTGCTTTTCAGAATACATTGCACGTTGGTGTTTCACATTTTGCCTCTTTGGACAAGAAGGCAAGGCTACGTAAAGGCTAACATAAACAAGGGGAAAAAAGTAAAGTTTTCTTAAAAGTAGGTTAATCAGTAGGCTTTCTTGGAAAGATGAGACATTACAGTATCCTACATAATTAGAGCAAGCCGGCTTGATACATATTATCCGCAATGTTTTGTCTTCTCAGCAGTAATTTTTGAGGCAACAGCGCTTCGTTTTCACCTTTTGCTTGGCTTGTTGAACAGATTTCCAACAGGATCACTTTTGCTTTTAAAGTATTTTTAGTTACACGTACCCACGGCATTGAAGTGTTTGCTTATTCCTTCTGTGGCTCCGTGAGCATTAGGCTGTCCCTGTAAATAGATGTTCCATCCCCAGATCCCTTTCCGCTCCCGAGTTACAAAGACACTGTCTTGTATTCCAGGAAGGAGCTCAGGATTATTGCGAAACAGGGACTATAGGTAAGTGTCTTGATCCCTACTGGATACCTTTTGGACCCACCAACTTGTCAACACCAAACAATTAAAGGGGAGATTTTTACTATTATTATTATTTCCTGACTACACTGGTTTCCTAGAGCATTCGGGTACCTATGGTTCAACCTCAACATCAAGTTTTTATCCAAAAGGCAGTATTTCTAGATTACCTTAACTGGGAAAATAATCTTTAATTTATCATCGCAAACCATTGGCCTCTTTAAGGCATCGTATTACAGACATCTTGTTGGAGGTGTGCAATGTTGTTCTCTAGACTTTAGTTTTTTTTAAATAGGTTGTGCTTGAAATGAGAAGTGCAGATGTTTTAAAGAAGAGTAACCCTATCTGTGCACCAAATGCTCAGTCCCTCTCGGGGGAAGCCAGGGGACTAAAAGCAACCTGAGATGGTACAGATGGCACTGCAAGGGGGAAAATAAACTCAGTTCCCTTAAAGATCCTTCAGTGAGCAGCTGAAAAACGGCTGTAACCAGAGATGTCGTAACTTTTTGTACCCTGGAAAGCTACTGATATCTTTAATAGGGGTTTGTAGTGGTTTTTTTAAGCTGTAAGCTCTTAGTTCTGGCAGCTAGGAGGACTGGGTGCTTCTGCAGAATCACAGAATGATATGGGGTTGGAAAGGACCTCTGGAGACCATCCAGTCCAACCCCCTGCCAGAGCAGGGCCACCCAGAGCAGGTCCCACAGGAACGTGTCCAGGTGGGTTTGAATGTCTCCAGAGAAGGAGACTCCACCACCTCCCTGGGCAGCCTCTGCCAGGGCTCTGCCACCCTCACAGCAAAGAAGTTCCTCCTCATGTTGAGGTGGAACTTGTTATACTGAAGTTTGTGCCCATTTCCTCTTGTCCTGTCCCTGGGCACCACTGAGAAAAGCCTGGCCCCATCCTCCTGACACCCACCCTTGAAGTATTTATAGGTGTTGATCAGATCCCCCCTCAGCCTTCTCTTCTCCAGACTAAAAAGACCCAAGTCCCTCAGCCTCTCATCAGCAGAGAGATGCTCCAGGCCCCTTATCTCTGTAGCCTCTGCTGTCCCCTCTCCAGCAGTTCCCTGTCCTTCTGGAACTGGGGAGCCCAGCACTGGTCCCAGTGCTCCAGCTAGGGCCTCCCCAGTGCAGAGCAGAGAGGGAGGGTGACCTCTCAACCTGCTGCTCACACTCTTTTTGATGCACCCCAGGATGCTCTTGGCCTTCTTGGCCACAAGGGCCCATTGCTGGCTTATGGTCATCCTGTTGTCCATGATCCCCACCTCTGATGCGGCGCAGTCCTGACCATGAGCAGAGTCATTGTAATTCACAGCCAAATGCAAAAGAAGGCAAATAAAGACAGAAAACTTCTCCTGAAGCTGGCGAGGAACCTGGGGAGCAGAGATGGAGCCAATGTGTTTCTGTCCTGCTTTCCTGCAGATCTGTGGTGTCCAGGTGCTTGAGGGCTCCCACTGTCCCTGGATACTTGGGACCTGGTGGGGATGTGTCCGGGGGGTGTTAGAGCCCAGTGGGGCCCTCGTTTGGTTCTGGGTTTTGACATTGAGAGACAATATTTCACCTTAGATTTGCGTGAAAACAAACATCACCTTATCCAGGGTTGTGCCCAGTTTGTGTATTCATATCAAATGGGCATAATTGGTGTTTCCCATTGCTGAGAGCAGCTGGAAAAATTAAGGTTGGAATTACCTTATGTAATATATATTTTATGCAATATAATAAGTAGTGAAGCATTTACAGTCAGCTTTTACTGGTTTGTTGGTTTTGTTTTTTTTTTTTTACTTCATCCAAGAACAAACTTAGAGACTCAGTTACAGTCCCCTCTTCCCTGCTACCTCCATCCCCGCTGAAGGGCTGACCCTACAGAATAAACCTTTCCAGTTCAACATTCA